ATTGAGTCTTTATTTGGATATATTTTTTTTATTTATCTTTTACTTCTTTATTTATTACCCAAATTTGTTATATTCAGTTTCAGTTTCATATTTTCTTTTATTTATTTATATTATAGTATCTTATTTAATAAACATCTTATTTTTATATCTTACTGCATATTCTTAAAATTCGCCACGCATCTTCTCTAACTGAATTATTAAAACAATATACCTAAATTGGCTCGTCATTGTTAGAGTCTTATCAGCTATTACCCCAAATCTGTCTAACAATTGCATGTCCTAAATTGTATTATCATCCACCCTTAAACTGTACATTGCAAAATCATTTCACGTGTTTTATTAACTCCACTAATCTTCCTACCCGTTACTATCAAAGCTAATCAGGCTCTATAGCTAAATCGCTCACTCACTTAGGGATGGATCAGTCCGTCCCGGTCGGTCCCAATCCTTAATTGGACCGATTTTATAATGTTTTTTTGTCCGGTCGGTCCGTCTTTCAGTCCCAGAATTGGTCTCACGACTTATGCATAATGTTAAACCTTTTATTTATTAGTTCATTAATTAACGGTCAAATTTTTATTTATCAGGGACCAAATTTTTATTAATTAGCAGCAAATTTTTAATAGATTTATTTCATAAAAATACAGCACACATAAATATGTTTTACAGAACCTTTGATTTTTGCTAAATATGTATGTTTTATAATTATTATATAATAAGAATATAATAAAATTGTTTTTTAGTCTGTTAAATTACTATTAATTTGCTTGTTATCATATTATTAAAATGTAAGCTTAGGGATGACATTGGCTTCACTTGAAGCCAGCTTTAGCCACAGTTTGAGGCCAAGCTGAAGTCAAGCCAAGCTAATAGTTTAAGCTATAGCTTGAGCTATAGTTTAAAAATTGCTTAAAGTTATAAAAAAATAACTATTGATTCTGTCTTTAATTATAGCTAATAGCTTAAACCATGGCTTAGTTATAGCTTGGCTATGGTTTTTTTGAGCTAAGCTAAGCTATCCAAGCCAACAACATCCCTATTTTTATTTGATTTTGCCGAACACTAACCGAAAGTAATCATACACAAAAGTAGGCCCTATTTAATGGTGTAGCATTTTATAAGAAAGCGTTGATTTGTTATAATTTTACGCTATTTTGTTTATAGAGATTTTAGCGACAACTTTTTTAAGAAACGGTTTAACTAAAAAATTGAATGGTTTAAAAGTATAAATTTGTTGATTTACAAAAATTATAAAATGTTAGATATATAAATTATATGAAAAACCTAAGGACAGTCTTAAGGGACAGTGTAAAGTTACGTGATTGTTAGTTAAGGACAGTTAGGTAGAAGTTAGAACTTTGAGCAAAGATATCTTGATGACCACCTAACTAAATTTGAATTTTGATTCTATAAATTTGTAGAATTAAAATAAAAAAATTTATCTAGTTGGATGATTGTTGAGATTTCTTTGCTCAAAGTTTTATAAAATTTTATATATTAGTTAAAATATTTTAAATAGGCGTTTTAAATGTTTCCACTTTGAATAAATCTAACTAAATTAAATAAAATAAATTCTTGTATTATTTATGTCACGTAATGACACCATTTTATGTAAGATTCCGAATTACAATCCCTGACTAGGCGAAGCATCTACTATTTATGAAACTGGTGTTGAATTGGTGAAATTGGTGACTAATTTCACCAGCATCTTTAGTTGCACTTGCATACATATACTTTATCGATATCTATTAACCGTTAATTGGCAAAATAATTTCCAATTAAAACAATTTAATTATAATTTTATTATCTGTCTTCGAAATGGTTGAAAATAGCAATATTTACAAAATAAATCTTTTTTTTACGAACATTCGAATATTTGATTAGTTTACTATTACGTAAATTTCGATCAATGCTCTAAACCAATCGAGTACGTATTCGAGTATCAAAAAAAAATATTTTTGTATTTCAACCATTCAAAAGCAGTTATAAATACCTGATATTTTAAAATTTAAACAAGGTTATGTGAGGCTGATGTGACATAATGGCACAAAGATTCTGTAAATATATATATATATAAAATGCAGTTAATTCCTTCGAATAAAAATAAGCGTAGCGGACTCTTTACGTCTATATTTGATCTACTCTTTCACGTGATTCTTCTATCCGCTTCCGCATCTCTGATTGGTTGTCAATCAAGAGCTTATTTGCTATGTATTTCCTAGTATATTCTGTATATATCTGATATACGTAATACGTAAAAAATTTAATTCTACGTACGTATATATATATATATAATTACGAATATGGGCTATGGCATTTAATAAAGTATAATACGTATCAAAATTTTCGCTGACAAGAGCTCTTCCGCTAAAGATATAAAATCTCTTACTGGCGAAAATTTAATATTGACTAACCACTATCAACTGGTTACCTGATTATATGGCATGTTTGCAAAAATCAAATAAATATTATATAGTTGGAATTCTACTTAAACTCCAAATTTTGGGTAGCAAATCTAACATCAGACCAAATTTGTTAACATATTAATATTAAATATTTACCAAATGAGGAATCCCTTGATGGAGATAATAATAATAAATGATATAATACTTATTATTATGTGGAAAATGTAAATTAAATTCCTTTGATAATAAGCTTATGAAAAGAGATTGATTGAAAAGAGATTAAAAAAGTAGAGAATGTTATATTTAAGTACATTCCTAGATATAATAATCGTTGCTATTAGTAATATATATACACTAATCCAATGTGTATTAATCTTGACAAGCATAGAAATGGAAAAGCATTCTTGATGACCTTATTTTTTTTGAATATAGAAATCCGATGATCATATTTCTCAGCAATTAGGAAGGCCCTTGTAATGCTACTTTCGAAGGATATATTACACAAATGTTAATTATTCTGATGTTTTTGAGTTAAAAGTCCTATAATTGGTTCAGCGTAAGTGAAAATGATTGTAAAGAAATGACAGAATGGACGTACAAAGGATGAGAAATTTTTAAAAATGGAGTTAAAAAAAGTTTTGTGTCACATTTATGTGAGTAGCTTATGATCCGTCCTATTAGGTAAATGTAATTTGATAGATGATGGATCCCTATAGTGTATAAAGAAAGCTTGTAGATTACTAGAATGCTCTTGTAAGAGAAAAAGATTAGTTGATTTACATGGAAATATTATCAGAATAGTGCCTTTGCATTCCTTGAAATGCTCGTTTCTGACAAGAGTGGATCTGCAGCATCTCTACAAGTAATCATAGCTATATACCATCATTTATGTTTATTTTGATAATGATTGTGTAAGTGATGATTTTCGTGTTACCTTCAACGGAAATATTAATAAGGTTAAAACTAGCAATGCGGATGAAATTAATTTCATCAAAATTGCAAGTATATATCAGATATATATACAGTATATATATAGTTTAGTTCGCCTTCTTAGTTAAAATGACATTCTGATCATATGTAACGTAAGAGTGCAAACTAGAATAGAGGTGAAAATGCAAATTTTATTAGAAAACATAAAAATGTCTTGTATTCGAATAAATTATATACCATTCAAATTTTTTGCCGTCTTTGCGTGACCAATTAAAATGTGATCATGAGCTCTTATAATGAGGCACAAAAAAAAAAAAAGATGTAAATATTTGGATTTACTTTGGTTCAAAATTCCGAAAATTCATTGATCAATGGATGCCTAACCTAGACTAGTAACTATGAAATTAATATATATATACATATTTGTAATGGTAAATGATTTTTTTTTACAAATCTGTTATAATAATAAACTGAAAACCAGATATCTTACAAATAAGGTGTGTTCTTTTTGTAAAAAGAGAGTGACTAAAAGATATCACATGATAGAGAATTTTAAAACAAATATACGGATATCGATATATATATACAGTAGTACTGTATTATGTAAAGATGTAAAAGATGTGATAATGATCTGTAAAAACAAATATGATTTTGACAGTGTGGACATTTAATATATGTTACATTACCCAGGCCCATGTGTTCCCGCGTGCCGTAAATTTTAACACAAATAATTACACAAAAGAAAAAAAAAGAACGAAACAAAGTAAAATAGACAGGGACATACATGTCCGGGATAACACGGAGAATTGGCGCGAATTTAAAAATTTAAGCTTTTAATATTGCATATATTTGTATGCACAATACCGTACACAAGAATTTGATAGCATACACAAAGTAAGTGATGTTTAAACTAACATCATTATAGCAATCTAGCAATCAATGAAGGTTAATTTTGACAAAGAGCTTTAATGAGTTGCTTGTTGAAGAAGCTTCTTTGCCAATTATTGCGCTAGTGTAATGAGGCACAAAAAGTTTTTGTGGTACGAAGAAGATTCCATTGCATTTGCGAGTTACCAGGAATTATTCTTTCATAATGTTATTTTATGGCACTTTCATTTTTTTTAAATCTGTTTTTAGGGTAACTGTGATACTGTCAAACCATCACAGAAAAAAAAAAAAAAAAAAAAAAAGTACATAAAAAATCTTGATAGCCTACTTTAGTATTTTTCTTCTTCACCAGCACCTTCAATATTTTTCCGTATTTAAGTCCAATATTTCCGTTCAATTTTTATCTTTTTAAGTATATTTATTATCCATAAACAGTGATATCATCTACATAGCAGTAGTTCTTTGATAGACACGAGAAATATTGAAAATATTGCGTTCGAACCTTCATTTTAAAGACCCAAGTTTTTAATACACTCATTCATATTGCTATCTTCGTTATTAACAGGTTTATTTATAACTTTTTGGGTAGATTTATAAAAAAAATAGATCTTTAATAAATATAAACTTGTATATAACGAAGTTCTTAGAACAACTCGAAAACCTAAAGTCTCGAATTCACTATACATTGAAGAGCCGTAGTTAATTTCACTTGGGTCAACGTCGCTGGTCGCTCGACACTTGAAATTATTACGGCCCTTTTTTTATTTTTTTGTCAAGATGTCGGGCCAAGATTTTAATGAAAATGCTACTTTAGAAGAGTCTTTTAGTGATACAGATACGGTTGTAGGATCTTTTGATGAAAAAACTGAGATACACACTCATAAAGGAACTGAAATACAAACTCATGAAAGATCTAAAAAATGTACTCATGAAGTTACTATACGAGATGGTCGAAATATCTGTAAAGGCCGCTATCAACCTTATGTGAGTTACTGAATAGTATATTAATATATTATATGATCAATTTAACATATTATTAACAAGTATCAATCTTCAGGAAGATGACCAGTTAGTCCGTCTTTATAAAAAATTAAAAGACCAACATAAGAATAATGTTTTCGCAATGATTGAACAGATCATGAATAGAACTGCTAAATCTCTGCGAGAACGATACTGTAACCATCTCGATGAAAGAAGTTAGTATTTAATATCAAACATCGTTATCACGTGACAATGTATTCGTGAAAAGATCCCAGTAATTTCCAATAATAATAATACTAATATATAATTTAATTTAACAAAAAAGTTGACAGTTCAGAATTAAAACTAGAAGAAAAGACTCGAATTTATGAACTCTATCATGAGCTTGGTAATCGCCCAGTCCACGCTGAAATAGCGCGTTTGTTAAGTGAAGGGCGCGAGGATGGTAAACGCAGAACAGACCTTATTGTCCGGAATTTTTTGTCACCAAAGTTAAAAAAGAAAAAAGAAAGTAGCACTCGTATTAAAGATATGATGCATGTGAATACTTTAATACATAAAGATAATGAAATGGACCTGGATAATTCAATAAATAATGATAAAATTGGCACGGCTGATTTAGCAAATAAAGATGAAATGAAGCCGGATGGTTTAATAAATAAAGAAGATGAAATGAGCCAGGCTAATCCAATGAATGAAGAAAACAAGATGGACTTGAAAAACTTATTAATAAGTTGAATGGTCCTTGGTTTAGTGTGTGTAAAGTGATGCTTTCTTAGCCAAAGTATCTCAAATTGTATATAAAGGCCGGTTTTACCCGGTTTTCTCGAACTATTTCATACATCGCCTTGTAAATATTTTTATTTTATGTTTTATTTAACTAATACTGTTCGTTTTTTTATTTTGTATTTTATATATATTTTTATTTTACTTTATTTCTTTTTGTTTCAATGATTGTAATCTTTTAAATTTTATTATGCACGAAGATCTATCGTGTTTTTTTTTTTTTTTTGGTCGTCTCCTTTTTTTTTTTGTCTTTTAAATTTTTTCTTTTTTTTTTTTTTTTTTTTTTAGCTATATAAGTTCCGTTATTTTTTTTTTTTCTTTTCTCTCCTTTTTTTTTTTTTTTTTGTTAGAGATAAGTAGTGGTTAAATTTTATTTTCTATATCTCTAATTAATGATATACTTCAAAGCATTTATTTGTTTGAAAAGGGTTCTCATCACACTTCCAAATACATAATGGAATATAAACAAATAAATGATCGAAAAATTTGCTCCATCATTGAGCAAATTTAAGTCTAGAACTTTTAGCACCGATTTTGGTTTCTGTAACCTTGTTTATAATACCAGAAAAATCCGGATACATCCAAATATACAAATATAAAGGATGTTAAAATCCAAAATATTTAATCCGTTATAAATCCTGTTTCTATCAGGATATTCTGTTCTATATGTGTATTGCGAAAATCTATATTTCGTATATACACAATTAACAAGTGGTTGGGTTTTAAATTCAAAAATATAGGCGTTCATTTTCTACGTAAAAAACTAGTTTTATAATATATATATACTTTATGATTTTTGGCTAATCGTTATCACCAGATTATCATAAGATTTCGAAGTAACGGAAATCCGTGCGTTATTTCGAGTACACTTATTCTGAAATGAAGAGAACGAATTTTCTGATCTTGATTATTACTATTTTGAGAATCTTAAATAGGCTATTTGATTTTAAAGTATCTAACGCCTTCATACCATTATTTACAGGATAAAGAAATTATATAAGTTATAGTTCATAGTATATACCTTGATATATATATTGGAATTTTGGAATTTATACGTATATAAATCATATATACAAAACATTTTACGGGACATTACCCAATTCTCTCAATTAAAAAACCAGTATCGACCATCTCATATGAATGTTTCCCGAGCAGATGTTTCCATAAGATGTAAATAAAGCAAAAAAAGATTTTGCTTGATCTCCATTATTATTGACCAGAATCATATGAGATTTGTGTTATTTTTAAATTAATTAATTTTAATTCTGTAGGGAAATAGTCTATTAGTATAACGAGAGAATATCGCATTTATTATTCCTTGCTTGACGTAGAAACATCCATGATTGCACACTCTATAAGTACAGTGTTATTCACTGAGAACGTTCCAGTGATAGAATGTAGTCCATTCCGGTGATTTCTAGAAATATACACTAGATAGCATCCAATTCATAAAACTATATGCTTCAACGATCTCTTGCCTTAGACAATTAGAATAAGTATCGATGCTGCATTAATGTTAGTTTATACAATAACCTATATTATTATATAAGCAGATATATTTTATATTAATGGTTATATATACCGATTCGATTAGGTGTACGTAGTATAAAAAATTCATAAATTATGTTATTTCTTCTGAATCCTCTGCATTATAGCCCAGAGTTCGGTATTTAGAAGTTCAGTATAGATTGAGGCAAAAGAACTTTACTATTACTATTATAAATTATAATATATACCGTAAAAGTGCGTATACAAGACCCGGGTCCACTAATTTTTAAACTCTTTAGTAGACCCCGGGTTTACAGTAGTACACGCTGAGGTTATATCGTGAAAAAAAAAATTTAAGGCGCATACACACTTCGCACCCGGGCCTAATTCATGGTGGATCTACTATTTTGGGAGATCTTGTATACGCATTTTTACGGGAAACTAAGAAAAAAAAAAAGAAGCCAATTGTATATTATTTTTAGACATGCCCGTAGTAGAGATGCGATCCAGATATTGATTGTTTTAAATAGGAAAACGAACAACGGATCGCATCTCTAACCTGTAGTACTAGTTTTGATTATTATAGAATTTTTTATTTTTAAATAAATCAATGACCAATGTAATGAATGTATCGTTACCTCATGCTTTGTTCAAACTAAACGCAGATAAAAAACTAAATTAATGTGAATTATAAATTAAATAAGTAGGTTAAGTACAGTACTCCGATTAATGATCATACTCGCAGGCTTAATAAATGCTAATTAAATGAGAATTCAATTGACTATTAGACTAAATCATTGAACATAAAAAGAAAATTTTAAATGAGAAAATGATAATGTTAACACGATAGATAACAGATGTATGATCGTTACGCTTAGGCTAAATAAACATTATACTGTACTTAACAGTTAAATACGGATGAAAAATGAAGCGAACAGTTGAAATACTTTGTTGATACCTTTACTGGATTAATGCGGAATAATTATATCTTCTGTTTTGTAAGCTGTTAAAATATCGATACATCGATATTACCAATTTTTATTAAGTCGACAAACTTAGGTACGTACGTGGTCTACATATAAACACTACGTATCACAAATTTTTAAATTCCTTTTATGGTTTGCAT